ACTAACTACGAATATCTTGCACATTCTTTTGGGATTTAGGAGGCCGTTTTAACTACGAAAATCTGGCATGTTTTTGGACTAATAGGAGGCGGTATTAACTACGAAAATCTGGCATGTACTTGGACTAGTAGAAGGCGTTACTAACTACGAATATCTTGCATTTTGTGGTGCTAATAGTAGGCCGTATTAACTACGAAAATAACGGAAAAGTGGTATCAAGGTACATATGGTTTGCTGATAATAAGTTTAGGCAGAAGAATGCGAAGACTGAGTTTAAGAGCTTCTATGTTGCTTTTGCAACATCCCTCCTTCAAACTGCGTTTGATTTTTCCCGTAATAGGGATATTTTTAATATTTTATTTCTACAGCAGTGGAATAAGAAGAACAACTATTCTAAATTCTAAGGAAAGTCTCATACAAACACAGGAACTTACAGAACACAAAATACATAGTTTTGAAATTAGACAAGAAGAAAATGGTTTTCTTGATGAATATAACGATAATCAACAGCAAACTGGCCGGAGGGGACTTCGAAACATAACAAATACAGAAGTGAAACTGGTAGTAGATGTAAAACAGGCCGTTTTACTTGAAAATAATGTAGAACAACAAAGTACTCAAAACGATGAGACATTTTCCCCTAAAGCTTATCCGTATACTGTTAATTTGACTGGAATTTTACGTCAGTATGATATGAAAGGATTCGCAGTTGAGCGGCCAATAAATCATTTTGATTATACTTACATTGCAAACCCTGATCACATTTGCAAATCATCGGAAAAAATAAAGGTGTTATTTATTGTTAAAAGCAGCACAGGCAATACTTTTCGTCGAGGAAATATTCGAGAAACATGGGCAAACACAAAAAGGTTTCCATCAATTCGGATTGTTTTTTCCTTTGGAAAACCAAAAAACAATGCAAGTTTAAAATCCCTATTGGAGGAATCTTCGACATACAATGACATCCTCATTGCAAAGGATTATGTTGATAATTATTATAACCTTACCCTGAAGACAATGAGCGGATTGAAGTGGGCGGTAACTCACTGCGCGCATGCCCAGTACGTAGTTTCCGCGGATGACGACGTTTATGTCGCACCTGATCTGCTGCTTAGATATCTTAACATACCTCTGGTACTGAAGATAGATAAACTCTATTCCGGTTATCTTTTCCGCGACACAAAGCCAATTAGGAATCCTCAAGATAAATGGATGGTTACTATATCTGAATATCCCTTTAAAGACTATCCCGACTATATATTCGGTGGATTTGTAATAATGTCGATGTCTACAGTGAGATCATTTACTGTAGCAGCTATGTATACCAAGTTTCTGAAATTTGAGGACGTCTATTTGGGAATTATAGCCGCTAAGGTTGGAATAGAAGCAAGGAATAACAGGTATGTTAATTCGAGGAAAACGTTCACAGTTTCGGAGTCATTCAAAACACTCATTGCCTCCCATTTTTACAATAATCCAAAAGACTTACAGAGAGCATGGGATTGTCATTTAAGTATATTGGACCAGAATGATGACAAGGCAGTTTTTTGTGACTATATAGGTAAACGTCTGCAGAAACTGAAATCTGAGATAGACAACATAGTCGGCTGGATGGAGGACGTGAAATATAATTCATAACTACTTGTTTAAATATTTAAATAATTTTTCGTCATTTACATTATCAGCAAAACCATTACTAAACAGCGTGAATGTTTTTCATGAAATTTATTTGATGATTTGTCGTATTTGTAATTATGCAGATTTTTCAGTCATAGGGTTCGATTGTCTGCCCGTTTTCATGTTTACTGTATTTGTAAATCATAGAGCAGAGTTATAATCATTTTAAAGCATAGTTCGTGAAAGAGACGCTACTGATTATCATCTCATATTCATTTAAGAAGCAATGGAACTACGTTATATATGTTTTTCTTATGCCAAGCGTTTAGTGTTGAAAATAAGCAATGACCTCAGAAGCTAACCGTCCGAACCTAAATTCTACAGTAGATTTTAGGCACATCTCACTCATGCCAGTCATTCTAAGGGAGATAAATCTACAAGGAATAGTATATGTGCCTGTGCTTCCTGTATAATGAGACGCTAAATGTACTCATTAAGATATGCCTTTATAGTTATGTGTACTGTTGATAATTTGATACAAATGTAATGGCATTTTTTATGTGCTACAATTAATACGTCTCCTCCTCGGGAGGATGGAAAAATATCTGAATAGTATTGGTCCTTCCTTAAAAACAATTAAAAGATGCAATACATTGAGTAATTGAGTAATCAATCAGAAAGGCCGGTATTTACTGTTAAAAAGGGGATAGAAAATAAGGAATGATAACTAAACCTATATAAGTCTAAACATATTCATATATAACCAAGGAGAAATCTTTAAAAAATTGCTATGATGCAATCGAGTAAGTTAGATTAACAAAAGTTCGATGACTTTCCGGTGACAGATTTCTTATTAACATCATTCCTTTTAGGTAAATTGCTGAGGTAACATACTTTTAATATTTGCACCTGATAATTAATGCCACTAAATTCTGTCCACTGATTTCAACTATTATAATTTGACATTTTGATTATACTCTACAAGACTTATCTGATGACTTAACATGTTGTCTATTCAGCTCCCTAATGGCGTTTATTCTGTCAAAGCTTCAGTATGTTCATAGGGAACGAGAAACTATCAACAACATGTAATTATAAGTGAACCGGTAACAAATTAAAACATGTTAATGAACCAGTAACGAACTAAAACATGTTAAAGGACCTTTAACAAATAACAAAATGTTAATGGACCAGTAACGAACTACAACATGTTAATGGACCTTTAACAAATAACAAAATGTTAATGGACCAGTAACGAAAAACAAAATGTTAATGAACCTGTAACGAACTACAACATGTTAATGGACCTGTAACAAGTAACAAATGTTAATGGACCAGTAACGAACTACAACATGTTGATGAACCAGTAACGAACTTCAACATGTTCATGGACCTGTAACAAGTAACAAATGTTAATGGACCAGTTACGAAAAACAAAATGTTAATGAACCTGTAACGAACTACAACAAGTTAATGGACCTGTAACAAGTAACAAATGTTAATGGACCTGTAACGAACTACAACATGTTAATGGACCTGTAACAAATAACAAAATGTTAATGGACCAGTAACGAAAAACAAAATGTTAATGAACCTGTAACGAACTACAACAAGTTAATGGACCTGTAACAAGTAACAAATGTTAATGGACCTGTAACGAACTACAACATGTTAATGGACCTGTAACAAATAACAAAATGTTAATGGACCAGTAACGAAAAACAAAATGTTAATGAACCTGTAACGAACTACAACAAGTTAATGGACCTGTAACAAGTAACAAATGTTAATGGACCTGTAACGAACTACAACATGTTAATGGACCTGTAACAAATAACAAAATGTTAATGGACCAGTAACGAAAAACAAAATGTTAATGAACCTGTAACGAACTACAACAAGTTAATGGACCTGTAACAAGTAACAAATGTTAATGGACCTGTAACGAACTACAACATGTTAATGGACCTGTAACAAATAACAAAATGTTAATGGACCAGTAACGAAAAACAAAATGTTAATGAACCTGTAACGAACTACAACAAGTTAATGGACCTGTAACAAGTAACAAATGTTAATGGACCTGTAACGAACTACAACATGTTAATGGACCTGTAACAAATAACAAAATGTTAATGGACCAGTAACGAAAAACAAAATGTTAATGAACCTGTAACGAACTACAACAAGTTAATGGACCTGTAACAAGTAACAAATGTTAATGGACCTGTAACGAACTACAACATGTTAATGGACCTGTAACAAATAACAAAATGTTAATGGACCAGTAACGAAAAACAAAATGTTAATGAACCTGTAACGAACTACAACAAGTTAATGGACCTGTAACAAGTAACAAATGTTAATGGACCTGTAACGAACTACAACATGTTAATGGACCTGTAACAAATAACAAAATGTTAATGGACCAGTAACGAAAAACAAAATGTTAATGAACCTGTAACGAACTACAACAAGTTAATGGACCTGTAACAAGTAACAAATGTTAATGGACCAGTAACGAACTACAACATGTTAATGGACCTGTAACAAATAACAAAATGTTAATGGACCAGTTACGAAATACAACTTGTTAATGGACCAGTAACGAACTACAACATGTTAAAGGACCTGTAACAAATTAAAACATGTTAGTGAAATGGTAACAATTTACGGCATGTTAGTGAATCAGTAGCAAATTACAACATGTTAATGAACCAGTAACGAACTACAACATGCTAATGGACCTGTAACAAATTTCGCCATGCTAAAGAACCAGTTTACCGCGGATTTGCATCATCGAGCGTATACTACACGTGTTATCAATAGTAGAATTAATAGGTGTAACAATACCAATTCTCGTAATGTTATTAATAGTAGAATTAATAGGTGTAACAATACCAATTCTCGAAATGTTATTATTATCAGTAGTATTAACTTTTAACAATACAAACTCGAAATACTATTATTATTAGTAGCAGTAATATGTGTAGCAATACAAATAATCATAGTGTTATCATTTTAATATTATTAATATGTGTACAATAAAAACTCACAAAATGTTTATATTATAAACTATTATTTATATGTGTACAATAAAAACTCTCGATATGTTTATATTTTAAGCTTTTATTTATATGTGTACAATTAAAACTCTCGATATGTTTATATTATAAGCTTTTATTTATATGTGTACAATAAAAACTCTCGATATGTTATATTATATACTGTTATCAATATATGTACAATTTAAATTATCGGTATGTCTTCATTTTAATACACAGCGTTTTCTATTTCCTTTGTCGGAAAGTTGATAAAATTGTTTAAAAAGGGAGTTTTTATTCGATCTATCTAGACCCAATTTCTTTAGAGTATCTACAGGGATATCCCTGTATTTTTGTGAATTTTTAAACCATAACGAGCGTATCAAAGGGATTGTCTGTAATATGTAATGGAAAGTCTTTCATATATGACACGAGAGCTGACATTTAATTTTTTAAACGACACCGTGGTATATCGTGCACGGGTTATAAAGGACGAGAACACTAGTCTATTTATATGCCTGTAGAAGCCAGAACAATGCCGGCTATTTGATGTGCCGTGTCATTCAGACAAAACCTTTCATGAGTTTATGTACACTAGTATACCGTGTTAGCTATTTAGATTATTATGGTTTTCTTTCACCTGTTATAAACACTCTACGAATTTGGTGCCTATTTTTAGCAGTGATATATGGCGACTACGTTTAAAAGAACCTAGCATTACAGGTGAGAGTCGACATAGTATAGGCCATTCTTGTTGAGCAAAGTCACAGTCATGCGAAGACCGAAACATAATTTAAGAGTTCTTATGTTGCTCTGGAAACATTTGTTCACAGGATGGTCAGTAGCAATACTGATTGGAGTAATTCTAGTGCTTTATTTATCTACCAGAGATATCAACAGGATCGATAATACATCTAGCGTCACATTTCCGAAGCGACTCATAAAGCTTTTTGAAATAGATCAACGAACAAACAATTTACATCGCATGAGAAGAAACGTTTCATCACGTATTTCCTTAAAAAAAGAATATTTGAAGGATTTAAATGGTTTTCAGAAGCGGAACAATATATCAGTCAATCGACATACTGCTAGTCACGAGCAACAGCGGGCAAATCAAAAATCCTACCAGCAGGATAGCGCTTTATTTCACAGCGGTGTTAAAAAGGAGAATGTTGGATATCCTGATGGCAATATAAATAGTCAAGGTAAAAAGCAAAGAGACGTTCCTCATCAGAATCAGCTACAAGGTGTTCAACGTCAAGATATCGCTCATCATAATCAGCTACAGGGCGTTCAACGAAAAGATATAGCTCTTCCCATCAGAGATGACCAAAATGATCCACGAAAAGAAAATGCAAACTTTTCACCTGATGAATATCTATCGAATGTGAATATGACTGAAATTGTAAGGCAATTTGATATAAAAGGGTATGCTGACGAACAAACAATTAATGCATTCGATCATCGTTTTATTATCAACCCTGAAAAAACATGTAACTTTTCGGATAATATAAAAGTGTTGTTTATAGTAAAGAGTAGTCCCGACCACATTTCACGACGAGTAACAATTCGCGAAACTTGGGCCAACAGGAAACGATTTCCATCGACAAGGACCATTTTTTCATTCGGATTACCAAAAAGTAGCAAATCTTTTTTACAGCTACAAGACGAATCCTCTACATACAACGATATTCTCCTTGTGAATTATGTAGATGATTATTATAACCTGACCCTGAAGACGGTGAGTGGATTAAAATGGACAGTAGCTTACTGTGCACGTGCCATGTACGTAATATCGGTAGATGACGACTTATACGTGGCCACTGATCTGTTGCTTAGTTACCTTAACATAGCTCAGGTACGGAGGGTAGACAATCTCTTCTCCGGCCACCTTATCGTCAACACCAATCCTATCAGGATCGATAGATCTAAATGGCGAGTGAGTAAGTCTGAATATCCCTTTAAAAACTATCCCGAATACATTTTTGGAGGTTTTGTAATTATGTCGATGTCAACAGTGAGGAAATTTACTGTAGCAGCATTGTATACAAAGATTTTCAAATTTGAGGATGTGTATTTAGGGATTCTAGCAGCTAAGCTTGGAATAGAGGCCACTAACAACGGATATGTTAATTCTAGGAAAACTTTCACGTCATCAGAATCATTTAAAACACTTATTGCTTCACATTTTTATTATGACCCAAACGATTTACAGAGAGCATGGGATTGTCATTTAAGCATACTTGACCAAGACGATGACAAGGCCATATTCTGTGATTATATAGGTGACCGTTTGCGTAAATTACAAACGGAAATAAACAGTATAGTTGGATGGTTGCAAGTCCTAAAACAACAGGCATAAATGATAATTTGCAAATGAAATAATGCTTTAATTACATATTGAATCGGCAATAGTAATGCGACCAATATACCCTCATAACTTATATTTTCTTCTTTTATTTTTCTTGAATCCAAATAACTGTTCCATGATGGAAAAGGGATGATAGCAAGATATTTTATATAAGTATAGTATTGTCTTGTTTTGAATGTATTGTTATTTACAAGGTACCCCTAATATATTGGTGAAGATTGAGTTTTTATATTTATCATTGATTGTAAAGTACATGGACAGGATATTAGAAATAAAGGTATGTTAATTTTGTTATGAAGCATACGTCTGTGAAATCAGACAAAATTCCTGACAGCGCATGTGCTGTGTGATTAAAAGTGAAATTTAGATAGAATTTTTCAATAGACAAAGTAAGCGGTGACGAACAGGATATGTATATAGATGACGTACGAACATTTGTATGTATAAGTGAAAAACACAGCACTGATTATTCATGAATAAAGTATGTGTATGGTATACTTTTCTTCAATTTTTATTTCTGCTAGAGGAAAAGGGAGATAAAGTCAGCAAATACACAAAGCATTCTAACCACACCACGTCGGCCATGCGTTTATCATTATTTTGAGTTTTGACTGACTCGAATCATTAGATACAGCCATTCAATCAATTCTAAATAAGTAAATCAATATACAACATTTGATATAGCGACCTGGCTAACTATAAAGCGCTTTACATTACATAGATATACAATTTATACAATTAGTGTATACATTGATCAATACAATTTTGATGAACTCGCAGGGGCTGCCTTATCAGGCGCTTACTATTAGTTCTTTGCCACCTGGTTAATATCTCCCTATGTGTGTATGCCTGCGTGTGTGCTGGAGAAGTAATGTGTTCTGTTTGTAGTGCGACCCTGCTTCCAACGCCATCATTTATAGTGCCACCTCACTTGAATGCTACAACACAGATACCGCAACATCCACCCCAGACACATTTATTCCCCAACTGGGTTGTTGGAGTTGAGTGGGCAGGAAAAAAACACTTTCTCTGAACATCTATGCAACGAAGACTTCGAGGATCGAACCCCGGCCGCCTGTATGGAAGGCCGGAGTGTTGTATGTAGTTACTCTTTCTCATTTAATGACTTGGGTTTTTAGAATAGTAATATAAATGTTGGAGATAAATATAAATATATCACGTTTTAAATGTGAAGCCACCGTTACTATTATTAAATATAACTTGATCTTTATGGCATTTATGAAGAACAAATATAAAACGAAGCATCGACAGAAGATATAGGAATTGTATATGCGACTCTATATACTCAAAACAATATTAGTTCATCCTTTGCGACAGTTCATTATACATTTCATTTAGGCTAATTAAACGGTGTTGATCGATATTATTTGTCCGTGAAAACGCTTTTTTCAAATATTTACATCTCTCCTTCTTTTAGCTTTGTATACACTGACCGCGTGTAAATAAGCGTATATGTAGTGGAAAAGGCTTAGCAGTTTGATATTTTACTTCCCTGTTAGTGTCGAACCCTGTGTCGCTTTCAAATATATCCTACGATGCGCAGAGTCGTTCAATGTAAGTGCAAGTGAAAAAGCACCATTTCAAAAAACGCTTCGAGGTAAAATCGGGATTGGTCTTTGGTAAGGTTTTTAGAACCCCATGAACTGACATTTACTGCTCGCCCACTAGGGATCCAATAATATCATATTGTCCTGTTAATCGAGATGGATTGTTTATTCACGTTTCATTAATTATGACTATTTTTTCATCTCATAAGTGTAGTAAGGCGAAGAAAACATGCCTTCATTCAAATATAATCAGACTGTAGCCGTAAAATATAGTCAGACTGCATGTAGCCGTAAAATATAACCAGACTGCATGTAGCCGTAAAATATAGTCAGACTGCATGTAGCCGTAAAATATAATCAGACTGCATGTAGCCGTAAAATATATTGCTTGATACGATACATACTTCTAGTAAACGTTCCTAACAAATAAAGATAAAACCCAAGGATGTCACTTACCTCATTTGTCTTGCTTTTCCTAAACAAAAAGATGCAATTCTGTTAATATTGCACATGGTAATCTATTTTATGTGTAGGAACTTAAACCTACAAAAAACAGCTATGTGTGTATGGAACTGAGTTTTCCAATGTACAGCTATGTTTGTATAGAACTGAGTATTCCCCTGTACAGCTTTGTTTGTATAGAACTGAGGATTCCCCTGTACAGCTATGATTGTATAGAACTGAGTATGCCCCTGTACAGCTATGTTTGCATAGAACTGAGTATTTCCCAGTACATCTATGTTTGTATAGAGCTGAGTATTCCCCTGTATAGCTTTGTTTGTATAGAACTGAGGATTCCCCTGTACATCTATGGTTGTATAGAACTGAGTATCCCCCTGTACAGCTATGATTGTATAGAACTGAGTATGCCCCTGTACAGCTATGTTTGCATAGAACTGAGTATTCCTCTGTATAGCTTTGTTTGTATAGAGCTGAGTATTCCCCTGTACAGCTATGTTTGTATAGAACTGAGTATTTCCCTGTACATCTATGTTTGTAGAAAACTGAGTTTTCCCCTGTACAGCTATGTTTGTATAGAACTGAGTATTCCCCTGTACATCTTTGTTTGTAGAAAACTGAGTTTTCCCCCGTACAGCTATGTTTGTAGAAAACTGAGTTTTCCCCCGTACAGCTATGTTTGCATAGAACTGAGAACCCCACTGTACAGCTATGTTTGGATAGAACCGAGTATTCCCCTGTACATCTATGGTTGTATAGAACTGAGTATCCCCCTGTACAGCTATGGTTGTATATAAATGAGTATTCCCCTGTACATCTTTGTTTGTAGAAAACTGAGTTTTCCCCTGTACAGCTATATTTGTATAGAACAGAGTATTCACCTGTACAGCTATGTTTGCATAGAACTGAGAACCCCACTGTACAGCTACGTTTGTATAGAACTGAGTATTCCCCTGTACAGCTATGTTTGTATAGAACCGAGTATTCCCCTGTACAGCTATGTTCACCTATGTTTGTATAGAACTGAATATTTAATGTACAGCTATGCTGGTATATAACTGAGTATTCCCCTGTATAGCTGTCTTTGTAAGGAACTGAGTTCTCCCCTGTATAGCTATGTTTGTAAGGAACTGAGTTCTCCCCTGTACAGCTATGTTTGTATAGAACTGAGTTCTCCCTTGTATAGCTGAGATAGTTGGAGAATATCGCCTCTTCGTACAACTGTATGCTTGTATGGCAGTGATTACTGCCAGCGGAACTATGATTAAACACTATAACTTCGTTACGAATAAAACAGAGGATTCCCTAGTAAAGCTTTATTGGTATCGGACTCTACACTCTAAAGTACATCTATATCTATATAGAACTCGGCACTCCCTAGAAAATCCGTATTTTGTTTTGGGCTGAGATCTCACAGTATATATAATAAATATAGTATGTGACTGTAACACTCCCCAGTACAGCATGTTCATCTGTGTGTTTACTTCTCCTGACATAGTAGCACGATATGTAAGTTAGGCTCATATATTTCCTTTAATATGTGGCCCGCAGAGAGGACAATTAAATGTATTCCTGATAATGAAACCTGATCGATTTCCATTGAAATGTCACTGCGAGTTAACGCCGTATTCTTAAAACATATCACAATGGGAATTCGATCCCCAGAGCGCTTCAGAAAGGGACTGAACCATTGTGCTATTTGTCATATTTGTTTTGTTATATTTTTCTGCAAAATTATTCGGAATAATGTCAAAAAAAAAAAATTCTTCAGAAGGCATGCGAAATATAATTGTCTTTGTACCTATACAGAAGAAATACAAAACAATTTGACAGGAAAATTACTCTGTAATATCTTGGTAAAGTAAAACGTCATGTGACTTTCCATATTGATTTCTATTTATATACAGGCACACCTAGCGGGGTACTAACTAGACCTTTACAGATTGGTTAATGTCATAGTCCGTTCAACTTATAAACAACTACTTTTATAGAAATCTAGAGGTGTTTTGGACGAGAAACATACACTATTTAGTATAGGTAATTATCAGAGAACAACGCGTTAAGCATGAACAGACCTAAAACGACCATGAGAAGTGTAATGTTGCTGGTGCGACACTTCTGAGGCTGTGGTCATGTACCCATACTTATTGGAGTAATCACCCTGCTTTAACAACACACAAATGAAGTCAGTAAGATCAACAAGACATCTAGCGCCTATGTGACGGATTTTTCTGTTCAGGACAACGGTCAGAGAGATGAAAGAAAACAATATTTTGACGGAGGTAATGGAGAACTTAATTTGAATTATGTAAAATTTAAACTATTTCACATAACAAATGTGCAGTGGAAGATGACGACGAATATCAGCAAGCTCTCATTAACCAACGACGAAACGGCTTTATAGAAAAACCGGACAACATTTTGAATCAGCAATATAATGGTAACCAGGGGGATATTCAAATAATGGTTCAAACAATAGATCGTCCAGTTTTCCAACACAAAGGTATTGCTCCCCAGAATCGTGACATAGATCCCCAAATTATTCAATAACGAGATATCGCCGAGCAGGTCTACGCTTTAAAATATGACTGACAGTTTCATCATCAAGTTAATCAACAAATTCTTTATATGATAAGGTAGGGTGTTTTGTTTACTCGGCATGCGTGGCTAGGGCCGTAGCAACAACACAGCTGTAAACTTCCGGCCTCAACGTCGGGTCTGGCAAACGGATAAATTCAAATTTGACTGACAGGAATACAAATTGACACAGATATATTTTAAAATGAAAAAACAATTAAATTAGAATTTTGTAGAGAAAATGAGTAACATATTCATATTCCTCACAAAAAAATATGTAGCCATGACAAAATGTTAATCTGACATGTTATTGAAAAACATGAAATTGAAGGAAATCTTTCTCTGAAGTGAAGGCTGCCAACATTTTGTATTTCCATCCATTTTCCGAAGTTGTCTCCCTTTTATACCCCCTCCTTGGCCTTTAAGCCACAGTAAATCAATGAATAGGCATTATACACTCTGTCTATGGAGACTACATATTCCCACATAGAGTTATATTAGCTAATGCGAAATAATAACTAGTATTATAAAGAGTAAAGATCTAACATGAAATAGTATTAGCTTCCTGGTAATTTACAAGACAGTTAAAATCCACTTAAAAATATTCATGCATTGTAATTCATTCCTATCTAAAATAGTTAAATTTTCCTTTCACAACAAGACATATATTTTCTAATCAACAATAACATGTAATAGTTTTAGCTTTATGGTATTTTACAATGACAGTCAAAACTCATTTGAAAACATTCATACGGTGTAATTTATTCCTACACGTACCTTCATTGTAAGAAAGGCCTGGCACAACAAGACACATATTTATAATCCACAATTATATATTGGTTTAACATATATTAATATAAGCTTTCTGGTATTGTACAATGACAGTTAAAC